TTGAGGCAATGTGCCCCCCTCGTAGATTGGAGCGTTATAAAATGTGGATGCAAGAGGCCAGTCGAGTTGCCTGCAACCTCTTAACATTCAAGAACCCGCATGATCCGCGGACGCTTTTACTCCTTGCTCGCGCCCTGGCTCGCGCTGTGTGGCGCCAAGATTGCGAATATGCCGGGTTATTGCTGAGCTCGCACGAGATGGCCCCAGACTCTTATCAAGATCTGCGGCGGCCAGGTGCGCTTGCTCCACGCGGCCTCGTTTCAAATATGGCCGAACGAGGTGCAGTTCAAAGCTGCTGATCTGGATCGTGCTTCGGCGCGGGCTCGGCTCGACCAAGCTCAGGCTGTCAGCTCCAGGACTCGTCTTCGCCAACGTATTCAAGCAATCGGTCGTCGCGCTCGACTTTGGGTCCGGTTTTCCAGGAGATTGATTTTCAGAGCGATCATTGCCGATGGGATCAGGATGGAGGATGCGTCGGATCGTGCTGCTGCTCTTACCAAGCATTGGGGCTCTGTATTTGCTCGGAAACCATGGCCTTCTCAGACTGCTGCTGTTTGCGTCAATCGCTTCGTGAAACCCGCCAGCTTCGAAGACTGCCCGCCGCCATCACTTGCTGTTCTCAGGAAAGTTGCACTCCGTGTCAGTGATTCTGCTCCTGGAGTGGGCCGTCTATGCTACGCTGCCTGGCTCGCTCATCCCTCTGGGCTTCTTGTGCTGCACGACGCCCTCTTGTGCACGTTATCTGGCAATGGCCTTTTCTTGTCGGGGAGCGTGGCCCTGCAGGCCTTCCCGCCGAAGGGCGAGCTCGCCTCCGACTCTCCTGATGGCGAGTGTGATCGGGGAGCGAATGCTGTTCGGGTTCTGGGTATCCGAAATTCGAGTATCAAGCTTTTGTCGGCGGCGGTGAACCTTGCCATCCGAGGGCCTCTGGACCGTTTTGTCCCTGGGGACCAGCGCGGTTTCATGAGAAGCCGAAATTTCTGTATGAATATTCTTGAAGTTGATGCGCTCCCCCGCGCGCGCTCAGCTCGCCCCGAAGCTGGCGATGACTGCCCTGTGCTGTATGATCTGGATTATGGGCATGCGTTTCCTAGCTTGTCTCAGGAGCGCGTGATGCATGCCCTTGCGAAGATGGGGTGCCCGTCAGCGCTGATCGATTTCATTATGATTTTGTATGATGCCATCCAGGGGGTGATTGCCGTTCAAGGTTTTCTGAGGCATGCGTTTTGGATCCGTTCTGGCACTATCCAGGGTGATGCGCTGTCGGGATCCCTGTTCGCCATTGCCCTGTCCCCGGCGCTGGTCGACCTCCGTGGCTGCGTCGAGAGCAAGCGTCTTGGAATCAACCGCGCATGCGCTGACGACCTCGGCGGTGCCCTCAAGACGCTCAGGTCCTTCATCCAGTTGTTCAGAGTGATGAGTATCACCGAAAGATCGCCCACCTGAAATTGAAACCTGCGAAGTGTGTTATTGTTCCTGCTTCAAGTTGCTTTTCCCCCGAGCTCAAGATGAAGGCTCAGAAGTTTTTGGATATGTTTATCCCTGCTTGGAGTGAGTTCAGAATTGAAGATAAACTGCTTTACCTGGGCATGCGGGTTGGTCCTGGAGCCTCAGAAGATGACTCATGGGAACTGCCGGCTTCGAAGTGTCGCTCTCGTTGTGCTGCGGTTGGTCGTGGACCGACCCCTGCGTCCTTCTCGGCGATCCTGCACAGCACGCGCTGCACTTCCGTGTTGAGTTATGTGATGCAGTTCTTGCCGATACCGAAGTCTTTGAAACAAATCGAACTGGGCTGTCTCTCTCAGGTCATTCGAGTTCCCCTGGGCAACTTCAGGTCTGCTGATTGGCCTCATCTGGCTGAATATCACGGGCCGAAAGGTTTTCCCTTGGAGGTTACGAGCGCTGCGACAATGGCGAGAACTGCTATTCACACTCTTCCTGGACACGCTCGTGTCTTTCGGTGGCTGTGTGCGCAGAACGACAGCGCCGAGCACGCTGACGAACTGCGGCTGTCGATAATCCCAGCTGGCAGAATGTCGCCAAGGCGTTGGAAGTCGAAATCGCATGTTGAGCATATGGCTGCCGCCTGCCGTGGATCAACTCCTGAGCTTGTGTCTGAGGGTGCCGCGTGTTTGTAGGCCCCCTCGTGTGCCTCTCGAGGCCTTGAAGCCCCGGCGTGCTGCGAAGACAGCTTGTGCGCAGTGCTGGCAATCGCGCTCGCTCGATTCTCTCCTGAGGTCTTCGCCTGCGCAAGATGTTCCCTTCGAAGGCCCTTGCGATTGCCCGCGAAGATGTTGTTGATGCCCGCCAGGTTTTAAACGAAGTTCCCCCGTCCTGGGCTTGGTCCTGGCTCAGAACGGTTGCTGGAGGGTGGCTTACGAGCCTTGGTATTTTGCATGCTCGAGGGAAGCTGTCGTGTCTTCTTGGGTGCGCAAATCAGCCAGATTCTTTGCGCCGCTATTTATGTTGCCCCATGTTAGCTTGGCCCATCTCATGTTCCCTCCGCTCTCGTTCTTTATGCCTTGACCCCCTCGATCGTCTTGGGATCCCTGGATATTGCACCGTCCCGATATTAGAAGAGATTTATGTGGCTACACACATGTATCATCAGCTTCGTCTCCTTCCTCCCGAGGTCCTTTTCCTCCCTCGGACTGCCCGCGATGCAGCGCGCGCTGCGGCACGAGATCTCCGCCTTCCTGCACAGGCAGGACAGCGCGAGATAGGGTAGGGTGGGACGTCGTCGTCGTCGTCGTCGTACGCTTGCCTCCTCCTTCTCCCCCTCCTCCTCCTCCTCCTCCTTCTCCTCCTCCTCCTCCTCCTCCTCCTCCTCCCCCTCCTCCTCCCCCTCCTCCTCCTCCTCCTCCTCCTCCTCCTCACCCTCCTCCTCCTCCTCCTCCTCCTCCTCCTCCTCCTCTTCGCTGTCCTCCTCCTCCTCCTCTTCCTCCTCCTCTTCCTCCTCCTCTTCCTCCTCCTCCCTCCTCCTCCTCCTCCTCCTCCTCCTCCTCCTCCTCCTCCTCCTCCTCCTCCTCCCCCCCCGTCCCCCTCCACCTCCCCCTCCATCATCAGGGTCGCCTGCTCACGGAGTAGCACGTGGTTCCAGCTCGAGGCAACCATGGTAGATGCCCCTCTTGGTGATCGGGGCGCATGAAAACACGCGGCTGCGGCGCAGGGCCACCATTTTAGATCCCCCCCCCCCCACACACACACGCACACACGCGCACGCCCTGGGAGGCCCGGACACATGACAGCGCGGCACGTGGCTCCAGCGAGGAGCAAGAGGCAACCGTCTTAGATGCTCCCTTTGGGCGGCCTGGAAACGTGAACGCACGCGGATCCAGTTTGGGACCACAATGTTGTATACACTATTGGGTGGCCTGGGCACGTAAAAAAACATGACTCCAGCTCGGGACCACCATGTTCGATGTCCCCTTTGGCTGGCTGGCCAGTTGAAGACTTACGGTTTTATCTTGGGGCCACCATCTTAGATGCCCTTGGGGTGGCCTGAACACGTAAACAACACACGGTCCCAGCGCGGGGCCATTATCTTAAGTACCCCTCGGGCTGGCTTGGACAGGTGAAACCACACGGTTCCAGCTCGGGGCAACCATGCTCGATATCGCCTTGAGTGGCGTGGACACGTAATAACACGTGGTTCCAGCTCGGGGCCGCCATGTTAGAACCCCCAGGGGAAATCTGGACAACCACCAGCCGAAGAAACCGTATCAAGTCTTTATACACCTGGTGCCGAAGGATTTTTTTTTTTTTTTTTTTTTTTTTTCTGGTTCTTGTGAGCCCCTTGCGGTGGGGCGCCCAGACAACCACATGTCAGATACCCTTATTGGTTCACCCGCGCGCGTAGAAACATGCAGTTCCACCTCGGGCCAACCATGTTCGAGACCCTCCTGGGTGGCCTGGACATTTGAAAACATGTGGTTCCAGCTCTGGACCACCAGGTTAGATACCCCACTGGGAGGCCTGGGCGCGAAAGACATGTGGCTCAAACTCGGGACCACCATCTTCGATACCCTCCTGGGTGGCCTGTACTCGCTAGGCCACTTGATGTCATTTGGGGACGAGCATTTTAGATATCCCCTCTGGGCGATCCGGGCGCGTGAAAACAATCATTCCGCTTGAAACATACGGTGGGTTCTGGCCCCAAGAGGGGAGCTAACTATATGACAAAACAAGCGTATCGCTCGAGACGTGATTCACAAATTATGCACCACAATCGTTTCGCTTGAGACATCCGCAACAAAAGAACATGTGTATGTTCACCGTGTGTAACATCAATCGTAATTTCAATACCGGGGACACCCTCAAGTTTTAATCCGCCAACCCACCTGAACTTTGTTGTTCGATCAGGGAAAAGATCCGCCGACCCACCCCGAACATGGCAACGGGAACAGGTTTACCGACCAAAAGAGGACCCTGGGCCCGAGCCCTTTCCAGGAAAAACACACCAACCTGCCACCGCCACCCCAACAGGGCTCGATTTTTGTTCGATTCGATGATTCCCGTTACCAGTTTTCCGCAACCTTGTTTTCGTCAGTGTCTTGTCCGCCCCCTCCTTCCCCACCCTTTCCCCTTCCCCCTTCTGCCCAGAGATGGAAGGAGGCCGAGGAAGAGAGAGAGGAAGAAACTTAGGAAGAGGAGGAGAAGGAATGAGGGAGGGGAGGAGGGAGGAGGAGGAAGGAGAGAAGATGAGCTGGGCGGGGAGGAGGGAGGTAAGGCGGGCAGAGGAGAGGAGAGAAGAGGAGAGAGGAGGACGGAGGCCCGAAGAACCCCCCTTTCCCCCTGCAGTGCTGTCTGTCTCGACAGGCCCATGGGCCGAATCAGCATTGAAATCTAAACAATCCTTGTCGCCGTCGTCGTCGTCGTCGTCGTCGTCGTCGTCGTCGTCGTCCCGCCCACCACTACCCTTTTCTCCGCCCTCCGAAGCTCCACACCTCCTCGAGTGACTGGCGGGATCAGCTCGCGTTGGGCCATGTCCTCCATACCAGGTCATGTCCTTCGAGAAGGACCCCATCGAGGCATACATACAGGAGACGGCGCTTGCACCTCTCGGGCTGCGCTTCGGCCGAGACATGGTGGGGGCAACATATCGACAGGAGAACTAGGAGGAGGGGATCGAAGACCGATAATCTGAGTGCTTTGACTTGCTTTGTTCGGTGCTTGGTTTAGTTTCCGCGTGCCCTTCACCCAGATGTCGAAGACGGCTTCTTGAACACAATCTCAACTGTGGAAGCCCGCATGAGGAAGGAGTGCGCCGCGATCGCGTCAGCGGGGTCCTGCTGGTCTGTTGGTCGCTCGTTTCTTGCGGACCGCCGTCACAGCCTCGTTGTGTTATCCGGCCTTCCACCTGCATGAGGGGGTTGCAATCAACCACGACCATCCCTTGCTGGGGCCATCCTCGGCCCCAGGATCGTGTACAGACCTCCCGGTCGAGCCCAGGAGGGTTTAATCACCATCCCGGCCCAGGATGCCGTTCGCCAAAAGGGTCGGGCATTTGTTGGTGGGAAGATTGCCCCCACAATGTACGACCATCCTCCGAACATGATCTGTAAGAGGCTTGGGGAGGGGACCGAACAACATCGAACATTTCATGAATGCGTTCTTCCGTAGCCATTTTGGCTCAATTCGGTTTGGCCGATTTGGGACCAGACTGATTTAGACCACCTTGGTCCTAACCATTTTGGCCTGCGGGCTTGCCATCTAGCGCGCGAGTTGATATTTCACTTGCATTACCAGCCATGCCGACGGGCACGATCAAGAATTTCTTCGAAGACAAAGGCTTCGGCTTCATCACGCCCGATGACGGAGGCGAGGACGTTTTCGTGCATCGCAAGTTGCACGGCGACGGGCAAGATCGCACTGCGTACCTCTCACAAGGTGACGCTGTCACCTATGAAGTGGAATGGGACGACCGCAGGAGCAAGTTTAATGCCTCTTCCTGCATCGGCCCATGGAAGACAGGCGGTGGCGGTGGAGGCGGCGGTTGGGGCGGCGGTGGCAAAGGCGGAGGTGATTGGGGCGGTAAAGGTGGCTGGGGCGGTGGTGGCAAGGGCGGCGGATGGGGCCCGTACTGAGAGTGAGATGACGTCAATTGGTTGAATATTTCTGTTGCCGTTCTTCAATATCGAAGACGCCTACGGCGAACCCTCGCCACCCTTGCCATTGGAAGCGCTCCTGCTTTCAACAGTTGAGCCACCGTCTGGCCAAGGTATTGGGCTATTCGTTCCCCCCAGCCGTTGCGGAAAACTTGGGTGAGCATTTGGCGGGAGGAAGAGGCAGAGGAGAAGATGAGGGGGGCGCTTGAGGCCCCCTTGGGGGCCTCTGGGGGTCTCTTGGCATGTTATGGCCCTTCGGAGGCAGCCTTAAGGGCCTCTCTGGGCTATCTTAAGGCCCTATTAGGGCGGTGTAGGGCTGACTTGGAGACCTATTAGGCCGTCTTGGGCCGTTTTGAGTATCTTGTGGCCCGTCGTGGGGGCCTCTCGGGCCGTCTTGGGGCCAATGTGGAGGTATCTTGGGCCTTCTTCGGCTGTCGGAAACCAGGGAGAACGCCAAACTCCGTCGAAGGCATCTGGGGCCGTCTTCGGCTGTCGGAAACCAGAGAGAACGCCAACATCCTTCAAACACCTTTCTGGGACATCAATGAGTTTGACCTCTTCGGGCCCTCCTGGAAGGCCTCTTGAAGCCTCTTGGGTGGCCTTGGGGGCCCCTTGAGCCGACCTCAGGCCGTCTTGGACCGCCTTGAGCCGCATTGAAGACGTCTTGGTCGCCCATTGGACCCTCTTGGGCCGTTTCGGAGGCCATCTTGGACCCCACTTGAAGACATCTTGGCTGTCGTGGATGGATTGCAAAAACGAAGGATTGCAAAAAAACCTTGAACGAAGGATTGCAAAACCTAGGATTTGCAATCCTTCGTTCAAGTGTTGGGGGCTCGCAGCCTGGGGGGTACCCTCCGGTATGCCAGGATCTGGTGCTCGGCGGCGCATGCCCGACGGAGCGAGGCACGAAGGACGGCGTTGGAGTTGGGGCGAAGCCCTTCAGGGAAGGGTCCAGGGGAGGGGCTTTGCAAAAAAAACCTTCGTTTTTTGCAATCCTTCGTCCAGGGTTTTTGTTTTGCAATCCTTCGTTTTTTGCAATCCTTCGGTTTTTTTGCAATCCTTCGGACAGGTCAGGATGGTCTACGGGTCTGTGTTCTTCTGTTTTTTTGTTCGAGTGAGGCGGCTCCCGGGCGGCTCCCGGGGGCCCGTTGCTGCATGTGTGTTCGGGGGAAGCGGGCCCCGTGCGGCTCCCATGGCCCGTTTCTTCGTATGTTTGTCGGGTGCAGCGGCCCAAGGGCCTCAAGACGGCCCAAGAGGGCCCCAAGACGGCCCCAAGAGAGCTCCAGATGGCCGCTAGACGGTCCAAGAGAGACTCGAGACGGCCCCAGAGGCCTTCAAGAGGGCCCCCGAGAGGGCCTCAGAGGCCAACAAATTTTGATATCCCTAAGGTTGTTGCAGGTATTTCGGGTTCTCCCTTTTTCCGTCCCAGAAGGGCCCCAGACGGCCCAAAAGGCCCCAAAGATCGTCCCAAGATGGCAACGGTCCAAGAGGGCCCACAGACGGGCCCAAGGCGGCCCAAGAGGCCCCAAAGGAACCCCAGACGGCCCAAGATGGCTCCCAGACGGCTTAAGAGGGCCCCGCTACGGCCAAGAGGGCTCCCAGGGCCCTAAGAGAGCCCAAACGGGTCCCAATAGGCTCCCAAGCGAGCCCGAAGATGAGGAGGGGGAGGAGGAGGAGGAGGAGGAGGAGGAGGAGGAGGAGGAGGAGGAAGAGGAGGAGCAGGAGGAGGAGGAGGAGGAGGAGGAGCGGAGGAGCAGGAGGAGGGAGGGAGAGGACGGCGGAGGAGGAGGAGGAGGAGGAGGAGGAACGGGGACGAGGCCAAGGGAGGATGAGGGAGGTAGAAGGAGGAGGGGGAGGAAGAGGAGGAGCAGGAGGAGGAGAAGGAGGAAGAGGCGGAGGAGAGGAGGAGGAGGAGGAGGAGGAGGAGGAGGAGTAGGTGGAGGAGGAGGAGGGAGGAGAGGGACAGGAGGAGGAGGAGGAGGAGGAGGAGGAGGAGTGGGAGGAGGAGGAGGAGTAACGGGGACGAGGCCAAGGGAGGATGAGGGAGGTAGAAGGAGGAGGGGGAGGAAGAGGAGGAGGAAGAAGAGGAGGAGGAAGAGGAGGAGTGGGAGGAAGAGAAGGAGGGAGAGGAGAAGGATGAGGAGGAGGAGGAGGAGCAGGAGGAGGAGGAGGCGGAGGAGGAGGAGGCAGAGAAGGAGGAGAGAAGGAGAAGAAGGAGGAGGAGGAGGCGGAGGAAGGGAGGTAGAAGGCGGACACGGAGGAGGAAGAGGAGGAGGAGGACAGAGGAGGAGGAGGAGAGAGGAGGAGGAGGAGGATGGAGGAGGAGGAGGAGGAGGAGAGGAGGAGGAGGAGGAGGAGGAGGAGGAGGAGGAGGAGGAGGAGGAGGAGGAGGAGGAGGAGAGAGGAGACAAAGGAGGATGAGGTAAAGGACCAGGACGAGGGAGGAGGAGGAGGAGGAAGAGGAGAGGAGGAGAGGAGGAGGAGGAGGAGGAGGAGGACGGGAGGAGGAGGAGGAGGAGGAGCAGGAGCAGGAGGAGGAGGAGGAGGCCGAGGAGGAGGAGGAGGAGGCGGACGAGGGAGGAGGAGGATTTGAGGAGGATGATGAGGCGGAGGAGGAGGAGGGAGGAGGAGGGAGGAGGAGGGAGGAGGGAGGAGGGAGGAGGGAGGAGGGAGGAGGAGGCCAAGGAGGAGGATGAGGAAGGGGAGGAAGAGGAGGAGGAGGAGGAGGAGGAGGATAAGGAGGAGGAGGAGGAGGCGGAGATAGGGAGGTAGAAGGAGGAGGAAGAGGAGGAGAACGAGGAGGAGGAAGAGGAGGAGGAGGAGGAGCAAGGCTCCCAACTGAGAACGGTGACGTAGCACGCGCTTACCAGCAAGGCTCCAAAGAGCGAGCGGTGACGGACGCAACACGCTCTTACCACCAAGGCTCCCAAGAGCGAGCGGCAACGTAAGCATCTCTGGGCACGAGGACTCTGAACAGAAAATGGTGACGTGACAAGCTCTTCCCATCAAGGCTCCCAACAGAGAGCGGTGACGTAACACGCGCTTGCCAGCAGGGCTCCCAAGAACGAGCGGTGACGCAACCAACTCTTACCACCAAGGCTCCCAGGAGCGAAGGGTGCCATGAGCCATCTCGGGCAGGTTGCTGCAGCGCTCTTCCGTTTCCGTGACGGCCCAGGTAACGGAAAGAGCGAGGTACGAGCGAATAACGTTGTAGCGTGGGGCGAAGCCCTTAAGGGGGGAGTGCAGAGGGGGGAGAGGTCCAGGGGAACGGGTTTAATGGCCGCTTTCGGGTTTCCCCTATGGTTTTTGCATGTTTTTCGGGTTCTCCCCGCTTCCGTCCCAGAAGAGCCACAGGCGGCCCCAGCGGCCCCAAAGCTCGTCACAAGACAGCCCCAGAGGCGCCCCAAAGGAGCCCAAAACGGTCCAAGAGGTTCCCCAGACGGGCCCAAGACTGTCCAAGAGGCCCCCAAGATCGTCCCAAGACGGTCCCAGAGACCCCCCCAAGGAGCCGAAAACTGTCCAAGAGGGCCCCCAGACTGCCCCAAAGGAACACAAGAAGTCCCAAGAGGGCCCCAAGACGGCCTACGAGAGCCCCAAGAGGGCCCCAAGAGGCTCCCAAGCGGGCCCCAGGAGGAGGAGGAAGAGGAAAAGGAGGAGGAGGAGGAGGAGGAGGAGGAGGAGGAGGAGG